TCTCTCTCTCTCTCTCTCTCTCTCTCTCTCTCTCTCTCATTACAAGGCTGCTCTGTAATTCAGGCTGGCCTTGAACTCACTCTGTAGTCTAGGCCGGGCTCAAACTCGTGACAATCCTCTTGCCTGAGCCTCCTGAGTGCTGGGATTACAGGCATGCGCCACAGCGCCCAGTTTGTATTCTCTTCATTTCTAAGTTGCTTTAGAGCAGTGACTTTAAAGCAGTTTTGCCTGTCAGGGGACATTTTACTAACATTAGTTGTCCAGAACGTGGGAAGGCCAGGGGGAGGGGAGTTGTGATACTATCTGTGTAGCAGGTAGAGCCCAGGATGCTACTAAACATCCTTCAATGAACAGAACAAATAAATATTGAGACCAAAATGCCACTGGTGGCAAGGTTGTGAAATCCTGCTTTAGAGTAGTAAATCTTAAACTTGTGGGGGATCACCAGCACCTTCAACCCCTACCAGGAATAATGCTGCATGCATACAGTTTGTGCATGAAATCCTGGGAGGGTGACTAATGCTGTGTGTATTCGTGTCTGCTTGTAATCACAGGAGGGTCATGAGCCAGGCAGGGTACCCTGTAAACCTCCTAGTTTATTGTTAGGGGAACCATTGGGATCATCCAGGAGGTTTTTAGATAACAGGGCCTTCCCTCCACCTTCTTTCAGTCCTCTGGATCCTACTGAACCTGCACAAAGAACTTGAGTAGTGATTTATAGTTTATAGAAGAATTTCACTCACAGTATCTTATTTGCCACTTTTCCTCCTTCACAGGTGAAAACAGCCAGAGGAATTGCAGGACTTGTCCCAGGTCTGGCCAGTGAGCCCAAGCCCAAGCCCCAGCCCCGGTGTGGGTAGATGATGATGATGTAGTTCTTGCAGATGAAGGTAATTCTTTTGCTCCACTATCAACTTCTGAGAGAACTTCTGTCTTTCAGGACCTCAGCAGTTAGAGTTTGGACCCAGGGTACCTTGAGAGGCTCCTGACAGTTCCTAATAATGTTGTGGCTCTTGGCCCTTTAAGACCACCAGCAGGATAGTAGTGCCATGCTGGCAGTCTTAGTGCCACACTCAGCCTACTCTGCAACTGTGAGGGAGGCAAGAGAGGATGAGAGACTGATGAAACAGAAACTTTGAGAATCATTGTGTGTGTGTGTGTGTGTGTGTGTTACCAGGAATTGAACTCAGAACCTTTGAACTGAGGTACAGTCCTTTAAAAAAATTTTTTTTTTGTACTGGGGATCGAACTCGGGTCCTTGCACTTGCGAGGCAGGCGGTGGAACCACTGAGCTAAATCCCTGGCCCTAAATTTTGAGATAGGGTCCCACTAAGTCACTAAGTTGCCCAGGTTGGACTTGAGCTTACAGTTCTCCTGTCTCAGCCTCCCATAGTGCTTGCTGGGATTATAAATGTGCACCACCATGCCTGAATTCTTTGAGACTCTTGAACACCCATTTACATCTACCTGACCTAAAAATATTCTGTTCACTCAACAAGTCTATGTTGAGTCAAAGTTGAATATTACAAAATGAACGCATTAGGTCTCAAAACAATGAGCAAAGTCAAAAGTACCTTTAAATCAATCTAGAGTAAATATACACATGTATAACTAAAAAGTTTCATGAAATAATGCTCACTTTTATTATAGCAGTGCAAGCTGAATTCCTATGTAATTTTTAAAATTAATGACTGGATGGAACATGGCTATAATACTAGTACTTGGGAGGCTGAGGCAGGAGAATCTCCATGAGCTCAAGACCAGCCTGAGCTACATAGTGAGTTCAAGGTCAGCCTCAACTACACAGTGAGACAGTCTCAAAAAAAATAAATAAGGGCCAGGGATTTAGCTCAGTGCTGCCGGTGCCTGCCTTGAAAGCACAAGGTCCTGAGTTCGATCCCTGGTACCAATAAATAATAAATAAATAGAACCTAATGATTTTAGGACCAATAAACAGAATGATTTGAAAAAAAAAAAGTACCTTAGACCAAACCAAAGCAAATAAAACTTTTTATTTTTTTATTTTTTTTTATTTTTTGATACTGGGGATTGAACTCGGGACCTTGTACTTGTGAGGCAGGCGGCAGAATCAATGAGCTAAATCCCCGGCTATTTTTTTAATGTAGCAAAACATTTATTGGTGCATTTTTGGCATTCATAATGATAGCATTCAGGGAATTTGTACCTGTACATGGTACATCCCGCCTCTTAAAACTTAATATACATATACAATAAATACATTTTAAAGACTTTATTTAACCTGTTGCTGGAGAACCAGTCAGATATTACTGCCAGTGTGCAAGAGAATCCAAAGAAGATTCCAGAAAACTATAGGACAGAAATATTGAAATTAATGTGTAGGTGGAGGCAAAACTGCTTTCTTTCACAGTGGGAGAATTTATTTATATATCTGTGTTTATTTACATGGAAAGAAAAAATTTATTTACTTGTACATACACTAGAGTGTTTCTTTTTATTCCAGTTATCTGTAATTTATACAGTTGTAAAATAACTCAAAAGTTAATGAAAGAATAGACTCAGATAACCTAGAAGAATGTGTTCCAAACAGTGCATGGTTTTTCCTTGAAGCACATATTTTCCATTTGGTTGAACCATCAAAGACACACTTGTAATACCAGTGCTCAGGAGGCTGTCTCAAAAATCTTAAATAAATAAATAAATAAAAAGGAAAGAAAGATATTTGACCTCATGAAAAAAGGTGTATCTCATTAAATCTAATATTTATATAGATGTACCATAATGTTAGTTCACTGTACAGACCTACAGAGTTTGCTTTGCTGGAAGTCTTCATAGATTAGACCTTTTTTAATAGTACAGAGGACCAAACCTAGGGATGCTCTATCACTTAGCTACATACATCTCCAGCCTCTTTTATTTTGAGACAGGGTCTCACTAAGTTTCCTAGGCTGGCCTTGAACTTTGCCTCAGCTTCCTGTGCACCACCATGCCTGGCTTACATTAGACTTTTCTTTTTTTCTCAATCCTCGGGATCAAACTCAGGACCTTGCGTTTGTGAGGCAGGCGCCAGATTAGACTTTTTTAAAGGTCTGTTTTGATATCAATTCCAAGAAGCTCTCTTTACCAGATTTCACAGCACCTAAAACTTGGGGCAGATTTTTTCCTTCTTGAGATTCCCACAGTATCCCAGGGTTCCTTAAACTTAAAAATTGTTAAAGAATTTCTTTCTCTTTTCTTCATGTGTGTTGGGGGCGGCTACTGGGGATTGAATCCAGGGCCTTCACACTGAACTATATCCCAAGCCTTTTTAAAATTTTTTATTTTGAAACGGTTTCACTGAGTCAAAAGTTGCCCAGGCTGGCCTTGAACTTTTGATCCTCCTGCCTCACCCTCCCAGAGTGCTAGGATTATAAGCCTGCCCCACCATACCTGCTTAAAGGATAATTTCAAAAAGGGTGAAACTATGACTCGCCCATTGATATAAACAGATGTTAGTGATTTAACACACCAGTGAGGAAACCCATACAGTGATGCAGATTAAGCCTGGTAAGCATAGAAATCCTTTACTTGGTGCTCAACAGAAATAACTTCAGATCATTTCAGGTCAGCCAGAGCTGCTGCCCACCTCTCTTCAGGACCTCTAGTCCAGTGTTTGTCCAGATGCAGCCCATAGTGTACCAATATGGGCCTCATGAAGTATTTGTTAAAAATCTTGATTTTTCTTTTTGCAGTGCTGGGATTAAAACGAGGACCTAGCACATGTGAAGTATCAACTCTACCACTGAGTTATACCTCCAGCCCAGAATCGGCATTTTTACCAGGTACCCTGAGAAATTCTCATAGACTAAAATTGCAGAAGGAATTGAAATAAAAATTTCATGGAAACTGTATTTAACCTCATTACATGGATGTCCTCTGCCTCAACTTATTTCGGTTTGCACTGCTGGTGTGAAGCAGGGTGTCTTGGCCTGGGCCCGTTGACTTTTCAGAGCAGAACCTTGTGGTGGGCAGAGAGGCTTGCAGGGTGTTTGGCTACAAACCTCTGCCTCCAGCTTCTTCCCACACTGCCTAGTTGACAACCAAAATTGTCTCCAGAGGCCAATGTGGTGCACATACTTGTAATCCCAGCACTTGGGAGCCTGAGGCAGGAGGATCATTTCAAGTTTGAGGCCAGCAAAGGCTACATAGTGACTTTAAGGCCAGCCTGAACTGCATAGAGTGACCCTATTTCAAAACCCCACCACCAAAAAAATTGTCTCCAGATGTTGCTACGTATATTGCCCAGGTGGCACTAAGAGCCTAACCCTGAGATAAGTACTGTAGTTAAAAGCAGACCAGCAGGCACGGAAAGGGTAGAAGCCTGTTAAAGTGTTACGCCCTCTTGCCATGTCATAGTGAAGGTCCCTCATCCTTTTTCAAGACAGAACTCCAAGCCTGTGCACTAGGAACCCCAGCACCCTGGGAGGCCGAGACAGGAGGATCACGAGTTAGATCGTGTCTGAAATTTTTTAGAAAGGGCTGGGGATGTGGCCCAGTGTGAGAAGGCTGGGTTCTCCCCAGTAGGGGAGGGGGTGTGTAGGTGGGGGAATGGACAACAAATCAATGAAGAAAAACATGGTTTCTTTTTTTTGGTACCAGGGATCGAACTCAGGACCTTATGCTTTCGAGGCAGGCAGCGGCACCACTGAGCTAGATCCTCGGCCTGAAAACATGGTTTCTTAACCCTTTTTCTCTTAGAAGCATGAAAGATTTATTCCTCAGGTTCAAATGGAAAGCCTCTTCACCTTAAAAGATAATTATGAGGGCTGAGGATTTAATGCAGTGGCACTGTGCCTACCTTGAAAGCACAAGGTCCTGAGTTCGATCCCTGGAACCCCCCCCAAAAAAAAAAAGATAATTATGACCTTATTTTTCTAATTACAAAATAAGGCATATGTGTTATAAAAAGTGTTTTTTAAAAGGAAAATTCCTTCTGCTGCCTGCCTCACAAGCGCAAGGTCCCGAGTCCGATCCCCAATAACAAAAAAGAAAAAAAGGGGGAAATTCCCCATGAGTTTCACTACCTTTCAAGTATTTCCTCTGCTGTGCTGTTGCTGAAGTTTAGGATTAGTAGTGCCCCCAAGTCCCAACCTTGAAGCAAGTTATGCCATGTTCACCCATCCTTCAGAACTGTTTCTAGGTTATTTTCCCTTGAAAAGTATTTTTGTGACCTAGCCAAATAGATCTCCAAACTACAGAGATTCAAAGCATCATAACCTCTCTTCATAGTTATGATTTTGTATTTGGTGTTGTGGGGATTTGTTTGTTTGTTTTTTGAGACCAGGTCTTGCTGTGTTCTTTAGGCTGGCCTCAAGCTCGTGGTGATTCTTCTGCCTCAGCCTCCCAAGTGCCGGGATAACAGGTGTGGACCACCACACTCAACTCTTAATATTGTTATTGACAACCTCCCCTGTCTCAAAGCTCTAGGAACTAGTCCATTTTTGAATTTCATTGCATGCCTGAGACTTGGCACACTACAAACAGTAGACATGGTTGAATGATACAGAGATGGCCAAACTGGGGTGTGCCCATACTGTGGAACACTACCAGGAGTTAGAATGATACAGAGTAATATACAGTATTATAATGAAAAGATCTCCCAAGTAGAGTGAGTGGTGGGGGAATAGTGCAAGGTAATATAGAAATACTGATCTTTTTCCTTCACAGGTTTGAGAGAATGTAGAACAGGAAGTTAAAGTAGAATCCATTTGCAGCAGTAGTTCATGTTTACCTGATAAGACTGTGGCAGATGCAAAACGGTCTTCCTAAGGAGTGAAGGAAGTGATTTTTGGAGTGGTAGTCAAAGGAAAGCCTTATTTGTACTTCTAAAAATCTGCTTTACAATTCAAAAAGATTCACCAATTTTAACTGTATACTTTGATTAATTTTAACAGATCTGTTCAGTAGTATAGCCACCAGCATAGTCAAGTCAAACATCGCTACTGTCCCAGGAAGTTCCCTCATGCCCCTCTTTGCTGCTAGCCCTTGGCCAACCACTGATCTGCTGTCACTATAGTTTCTCTTTCCCAAGATTTCATTTAAATGGAAACATATGATATGTAGTTTTTTTGTGTTTATCTTCTTGCTCCTAGCATGATTTTGAGATTTATCTATATTAGTGTGTGTATCCGTTTTTTAAAATTGCTAATCATTATTCATTGTATAGATAAAGATTTGGGCTTTTTTTTTGAGACAAGGTCTTGATTTGTAGCCCGGGCTGGCCTTGAACTCACAGATCTTCCTGCCCCAGCCTCCTGAGAGCTGGGATTACAGGCATGTGTGCTACCACACCCGGCCTTAGTTTTGGGCTGTCATGAATAAACCTGCTATGAACATTACAGAAAAAAAAAAAAGAGCTTTAGCCCAAAGGCAGACACAGGAGATTTGAGTGGTGGCTGACCTTACTGGACTGGCTCTGGATCACAGGAACCCGAGACAGTCCTGGATTCCTCCTGTCCAAAACGAAGAACACCAGTCTAATTGGTGAGGCTATTTGGAAGATAAAATGAAATAATGGACTAAAAAAGAAATAATTAATCCCAAGACTTAGTGTTGTGCACTCTATATCATTAGTCTTTGGTAGCAGAAATGCTGAAGTCATGGTCCTTTAGATTCTTTGTGTGTGTGTGTGTGTAGTACTCGGGATTGAACCCCAGAAACTTTGCACTGAGTTATAGCCCCGGCTGTTTTAATTTGTTATTTTGAGGCAGTCCCACTAAGTTGCTGAGTAGCTCAGGATGGGGCTTGGGCTTGGGGTTGGTGTGATTAGAATGGGAGGCATTGGAGTTGGTTCTCAGAACCCATGGTGCTGACAGGCCTTAAGGCTGGCGAGGATGACCTTGACCACTGGAAGGTGTCTACAGGCTTCTCCTGGGTTCATAAATGTCTGACATTTTGGAGCTCTGCATACTACATTGCACAAGGGTGGGAGCCCTGTTTTTATCTGAGTTATGGAGTTGGAGAAGAAGTTATGAAATGCAGTATATCCTTAAAGTGAATACTTTCCCACTCTCAAAAGAATTTATGCACATTATAAACAATATTGAGAACAAAAAAACTTAAGATAAAAATCACCATTTTCACTACTTTTAACATTTGTATTTATTGCTTTCTAGTTACTGAAATGTTTGCTGGTTTGTTTTTGGTTTTTGGTTTTTGAGAGAGGCTTTCACTAAGTAGTCCAAGCTGACCTTGAACTTGTGATCCTCCTGTCTCAGCCTCCCAGCATGGGGATTATAGCTATGCACCACCATGTCTAGCTTTAAATGTTATAAAGTTATGAGCACATAGAATAAAATTAGTCATAAATAACAAATATGATGCTGGACTTGGTAGCGCACACCTGTAATCCCAACACTGAGGGAGGTTGAGGCAGGAGAACTACAAGTTCAAGCCCAATTTAATAAGATCCCATCTCAAAATAAAAAATAAAAAAGGGCTGGGGATGTAGCTGAGTAGTGAAGTGCCCTCAGGCTCAATCCCCAGTACTAAAAACAACCAAAACAACACAAATATGACCCAGGGAGAGAAGAAATATAAGGAAGCTGAGTGCCTCAAGGGCTAAAGGTACTTACTTGAAGGTAGTGTGGGTGTCCTAGTAATATTTTGGTCTATTTGTGAAGAATTTTACTCCTCTAGAAAATACAGTTTTTGTTCAATTTATTAATTGTATTTGGCTAATACTTTTCATAAATAAAACATTAGGAGAATTCTTTTTTAACTCCCAATATGGAAAAATGGCCAAATTCTTGTTTTGAAATCATTTTTCCCCATTTAATTTTACCAAGGACATAGGAACCTTTTAAGAGAGCAGCATCGCCCTTTTGTGGTTACCTGCTGCTGAGGATTTAAATCTGTACTCACCTACATCACATAAAGCTTCAATCTTTCACAAGGGCTCCATCTGGTCTGCAGGTGGAGACTTCCTACTCTAGGGAGGAGCACAGTGGCAAACCACATGCTTTAACATTCCGAGTGCTAGGCAAATAAAGTGCATTAGAGGCACTAATATAAAAATGGAAATAGTTGTGCATTTGGGTGGCAGAATTATGTATAACCTACTGGTATTCTTAACATTTTAAAAAGATTTATGCATAGGTTTTAGAATATAATATCAAAACTTAGTAAACCTTACAACTGTGATTTCTTCCAACCATCTCTGTGGATGAGGAAACCAGGCCAAGGTAAAGAGCTTTGGTAAAGCTGTCTATGGTACATGTGACCTTGGTATGTGGGTCAGACCTACAAGGATTGTTTTTTGACAACTTTACCAAGGTATAACTCATATATAATTTCCCCATCTACAGTGTACAATTCAGTGGTATTTTGGATTTTGGTACTGGGGATTGAACCCAAGGCTTTCACACTAAGCTGGCAGTAGAGAGGAACAAGAGCTTACTAGGTGACCATCCAAAATGGAAAAATTGCAAATAAGAGAAAATGTAAAATTCTTTTTTATTTTTCTGGTGGGGCTGAGAATTATACTTAGGGCTACATGCATGCTAGATAAGTGCTATATACTGACCTTCGCTCTCAGCTCAAAAATCTAAAACACCTAATCATAGGGAGAGAGAACTTTTGTATTTTTGGTACTGGGAATCAAACTCAGGGCCTCACGCTTACCAGGCAGGCACTGCGCCACTGAGCTACAATGCTGGCCCCAAGGAGAGATAACTTTAGTTATTCAGAAATCCTGTATTGTTTACCAATGATGTTAGGGAGATGGGAATTACAGGTGGGTTTTGTGCATATGGTAAAATAATACCATAAAATTTCCATCTTA